CGTTTTGCAAAATTATAACATTCTGATAATATATGCATATATCAATGAATATTTTATTATATAGCTTATATATATAATATATATTTATTTGTATACATTTCTTTAATCTTTAATGGTCAAAATTATTATTTCGGAACATGTTTTGGATGCAAAAAGTGTTTTCTGCACAATTTCTAAAATTTATTATACTAAAGTTCCTTATGCTTTTACTTCGAAATTTCATGATTCTTAATTTTCTAGAATTATGTAATTACGTAATTATTCTTATAAGATCAAAAATCTGGTGTAACCTTTATTTTTTTTTTTTTGTTTATATGATTACCAATATTTTGCATTGATTGAAAGCTCAACTATACAGTATTTCATTTATTATTTTCTATATTTCTGTTATCTAGATTTTCAACGAAAACCGTGTTGATACACAAAAATATTATGTTTTTCTTTGTATCAGAGGTTCTTGTAGAAAGGTTCTTACGAAAATAAAAAACGCTAAAAAAAAAAGCAAACACTATCTGTTATTTTTTTTATATATGGTATTGTATATCTAAAGTATTTTTTAATGTTTCATCTAATAATTAATATTAAAGAATCTAATAAATAGTCATGTTGCTAAATATGATTATTACTTAACAATCGTATAGCCAAATACAGCTGTTGCATTAAGTTATTTGTAAGAAATCAGTAATATGAGGTGAATAGCAAAAGGTAAAGCCTACGGTTAAATATTTTTTTAAAGTTTTAATTACTAAAGTTTTAGGTAATTGGATAATATATTTTTTATCAGATTAATAGTTAGTATCTAAGGTAGGTACGTATATCCGATTTTTCAAATAGATCTAGCGTTTAAAATAACGTTATTAATATCACGGCAAATCATGAATAAATTTGATTGATTGTAGTATTTGAGCGTTATCTCAATTATTTAGTTCATTATAGTAAGTTGGGTACTTGAGAGAGGTGTTAGTAAGATTTAATCTATAATAGGATATTTACGATCTGTACAGTATATACATAAAAATGTACTTTATTATGATAAAGGTAATAGTAATAAATTTTGATATTTAGTATGAGTTATGCTAATGACATATTTGTAAGATATATGTATTTTTTCTTTCTTTTATATACAGTATATGAATTTAATAAATCTTACCTTTCGTTAAGGAAAGGAAGATAAGAGATAATAAAACTCAGTTTTTATGAGTTTAGGTGGTTTACGAACTTTCATTAACTTGAGCTTGTAGAAATTATTGGGTGGTGGAGGAGGACATATCTGGAATTGGGTTTGGGTTTGCCTGAAGGGCTTCGATAAGATTTTGATTTGGGAGAACTGAGGGAATAGAGGTAGCATTCATGTTAGATAGAGTGTTATGGCCTTTTTTTAAAATTTTCGGGGTAGTACTCCGAGGTTGACAGTTTCACGCATATTCTGGGATGCTTGATTGTGCTAGCCACAGTGAGACAGAGGATTGTGAGGTTGAGTTATTGCGGTTGGAAGTGATCATGATGACATCCTCTAAAACTATGACGTGCTTTCCTGTTGTTGTTTCATACACGATGGTGCTGACTAGGACTGCAGTGGTTGAGCAGGCATTCTGATTAATTGCACTTGTTTTGTTAGAGAGGTATTTATTGTTGACGCTGTGTCTAGCTTCTACCCAAAAGTTTGAGGGCTTTCTCTCCGACTTTTTCTTCAATATAGAACTCGAGGCTTATATTATCGTCATTATTTTTGATGGTTTGATTGGTGATGCCAATGATAAATGTGTTTATACCCAGTGCAGGCATATCGTCAAAATCGAATTCTAACATTTTAATAGAGGTTGCACTGACCTTATTATTAAATAGATTAAAGAGTGGATTTTTGATTTATTAAAAAAAAAAAAAAAAAAAAAAAGAAAGGTAAAGATTTTTATTTATATTGTGTAATAATTATCACGTCTGACAAATTTTCCTTTTACAGATATAACATCACCAGTCTCGAACGACTCAATGTAGTGATCGTTTGGTTCATTTAAAGGAATGAAGGCCTTTATATTTAGATAAATAATCTTAGAAGGGTCATCATCACTTAATCTTACTACGGTAGTAATATCTTTAACCGTAAATTCCTGGATTAAGCGTTCGATACATGCTTGAACATAACAGATCACAAAGAGTTTAGCAGGCATTTTTTTTTTTTAATAAGATTGAAGGTTTGACTTTAATAAGTTTAATAAGATCGAAGGTTTGACAAAAAAAAAAGTTATTTATAAGGCTAAGTACTTTTTTATTATCTTTTCTTTAATCAACAAAAATTTTTGATATTATTTTTTAATCAAGAAAGTTCATTATCATTTTTAATCAATCAACAAACAACATAAACATTCGAGCATTTATTTACAAAGATAACTCGTAAATATAGTCATCGCCCAAACTGTTTAGGATGGTCCAACCATGCGATAATTAGTATCGCTTTAGTTTTAGTTATTAATAAGTTACTAATATTTCTTATAATTAAAACTATGTGATTTTAAATATTACATGGCTTGGGCTGCCATAAATCGTTTGAATGGCAACTATACTCATGGATATTCATCTTTAGAAAACTATAAGGGGTAAAATTGTGATCTAAATTCTTATTTGTCATTATCTTTATTATCTTAGATATCTTCTTTATGATAAGATTTTTTTTTTTTGCAGGCTTTAATTCAGGAATTCGTGGAGTTTTATTGTTAGTGATAAAGACTCAACCACAAGTCCTTTGTAAAATTCCGCAAAAGGATACTCTATTATTAATTACGAAAATATGCTTGTATGAAGGATGATGAAAATAGTATATGGTCGTATTTGATTTCGGTTCTTTTGTAAATAACAAGTATCTGAGACATTGATAAGAGAAAATAGTACAAGATAGAGATACAACGCGATCAATTTCTATATTTCTTTCCTGTAAATAACAGGTATTTCTGAGACATCGACGTGAAAATGGTATACGACTTGAAGGATACAACCCAATTAATTTTTTATATGTAAAAAACTGGTTCTTTATATATAAAAATTGTAATCCGATTAATTTTTTATATGTAAAAAACAGGTTATTTATATATAAAAAATTGATTGGATCGCACCTTTAAGTATAAAAAAATAACAGGTCCTTGGAATATATTAGATACAAGTTTGATCAGAAGATTACGATAGATACCGAATAGAGTTTAGTTTGATAGCGCAAAAATCTGATAGTCTCGTGATTTTTATTCAATAAGATTAGCGTAAAACATACAAAAAAAAATTCGAAGTAAAAAAAATAAAGTCGAAAAAAAAATCAGAAATTGCAAAAACTCATAAATTTGTAAAAGAAATTGATCTTACTGTTATGTAAAAGTTTTCAGTATAAAAAATTTAGATATATTATTTTTACTTTGTATCAATGCATTAATTTTTTGACGAAAATTAGGATATCATTGTTATTGAATTAGTAACGTGAGCATCAAATTTTGCTTCGACTCTAATTGATTAGCAGTTAGTACTATAATTGTAAACGAAAGAAGTTATAGCATTTCATGAATGAATGAATAAAAGTTATAGTGTACTTTATTTTATTATAGTGTATTTACTTTATTAGTCAATAGTAAATTATGAAGTGATGATGCATTAGATTCATTAAATTAAATGATCTTTTGCAGCGAGATTTCGTTAATTTCGATAAATTTTTTTTTTCATTACGTTCATTATAATAAAAGTATTTTTTTTTTCAAAATATATAAAATAAATAATTTATTTTAATAAATTATGATAAATAATAAATATAAGTTATTTATTTTTATACAGTAAATAATTTATAAATTTTTTTTTTTTATAAATAAAGTTTAAATAAAGTTTCTGAAATAGTGATCAATTGAACGTTTGGAATACATATCACGAGACGTCTCATAAAAGTATTTATAAGACAGAAATTCGTAAGGGAGGCGGGTGGGCTAATCTACCAAGTAATATTAAATATTTAAATATTTAAATATTTAAAATAGAGTAGATTCAAATTGATATAATAGATTCAAATAGATTTAAATATTATTTAAACACAAGAATCTTTTTTCCTAATCTGCTCAAGTAAATCCTTCTAAAAAAGAGTATACGTGGCAAATGTTTTGACAATCTCTAGTCGGGTACTTGACGGGTAAGGCGATTTTACATTACTTTCTTTAAAAAAAAAGTAGTATTACCTTTCACAAAAGCATTCAGACAAGTACAAATCAATCTAAAATAGGAAAAAACCAGGAAACGAAATTATAACTACGTTAAAGTATTTTAACACACTTATACAGTGATCTGATTTTGGTGAAATGTGTTTTTTCTGTTTTTACTTTTGCCGATTGTATTAGATCTATTTTTAGTGAAAAAATGGCCAAAAAAGGTCATTTATTGCATCACAAAGTTGAAAGCGTTGTATAATTTATGGTCTTGTTTTGGTTGTGCAGTGCAGAGCAGAGCAGAGCAGACCTGACTTGACCAGACTTTCACAGAGCTCTTGAAAATTTTGCAGATATGTTTTTAAGAGAATGTGCAATTTTTTTGCTATTATGTTAGAAAAATTACAAGTTTCTTGTGGGTATATTATAATCAGTTTTGTTATTTCTTGATTTGCAGTTTTTTCTGATCAAATTTTTACCATTCTGATTAATTGATAATCTGGATTTTTCTTTTTCTCCTACTTAATAAGAAGCGAAACATTTTTCGTACAATTATAAGTGATCTGTTGGATATTAAATTTATTGGTTATATGATGTTTTATCTTATTCTATTCTATTATTATATAATAAATATACAAATTGCATCTATCGATGTGAACCGCGCATACATGATTTGTGATTCTTTTTTAGCATATAAACAAATTCGTGATCAGATTTTATTTTTATCTGAATCGCTCAATCCAATACTGCAATACGTATTAATATTCGAATATATTTAATTGCACCTTAAATTCTATAAATACGTCTAGATAATATGCTACAACTGATGAGACAATGAATTATATGATAAGTATGACTCATTAAAAGACAATAAATGACTAATTCACGATAAAGATTAGTCATGATTAATACACAAAAAGGAAAGAACTAAGTATAACACACAGGCAATGTGCTGAAAGAAAAAAGCTAAGTATACAACACGGGCAGCATATTGAAAAAAAAGCTAAGTATTAGATCGGGCTCAGATCAATGATAAAAAAAATGTGAAGTTGTAAATAAGTCATATCATGAAAATATCAGTTAACTCTTAGAAACCTTTTTGCAAGGATCTGTGAAAATTAAAAAAGCTTTGACCGTGAAAAAAGTAAAATTTTTAAAAAAAGCCCCTCGAGCTTCTTGCTAATCAATTGTTATAAAAATGCTGTAATTTCATTATTATAAAATAATAAAATCTTTGAGTCAAATTTCTATAGTTAATGAATAAAGTTTTGTTTTAGTAGATCATTTTAAAATTAACCAATTGCTCTATTAAATTTTTTTTTGCAAACTTCTATAACATTACTCATTATATCATCTTTATTTATTGCTTTTTGTCTCGCTAAAAATATTACTGGAAACAATAGTTACATCACCAGAACTGTGTTATATCGAATAAATGACGGTACTGATAAATTTAGAGAAATTACTTTCAAGGGTTTCCCCAGAAATTCTGATTCGTTGGTTACTCTATTCGAAAAAAACTCTATTGTCTTGATGGTTGGCCGTTATGTGTGTAAAGATAATGTAGAATATGTACATATTAATTACTATTCTTATTTTTATCGAAGACATTATAAACTCGATTCACGCCTTATTATTTCTCTCAGATCACTATAATTCAATCTGTTCTTGTATCTTATTCTGATGATGAATATACTCTTACTCAAAAAGACCTTTCAAATTTATCTCACTTATTACTTTACTCGGCTTCTGTAGTGCCGAATTCATATATTTCTGACAATAATGGAGGTCGAGAAAGTTTTATACTGGCAAGGCGTTTGTATAATGGCGTCACTAACAATAAACAAATTGACTCTAAAGTTATCATATTATACATAAATAAAAACAATCATTTTAATGCCTTAAAAAATAATCTAAAAAGAACGGTCTTATCTGTTGTAGGACAGTTGAAACTTGGATCAAAAAAACTTCCACATATTCTTGCTTCTGATATTGAATGGACCTATCCGACTAGTGACCCTCAAACTTCAAATGCTTCGTCTAGTGGAACATCTTCACAAGAAGAACTTGATACACAATTTGACAGCATCGAAGAAAAATATACTGCATTGATATCTTAATTCCCTCAAAAAAGACAAAGAACTAATTTATAAAATTCTTCATTTAAACCTCTGAATGACAAAACTACATTCTAAATTTTGTTGAAGTCGTCTCCCAAATTCAAAAAGAAGCTTCTTCCACTGGACCTTCTCATGCAGAGTCTACCCCGCAAGTTATCAATAAAACTAGCTTGCAAAATATGAATGAAACTCTCACTCCTGCTACGTTTTTTGCAAACGAAACAAACACTTCTCTTATTAACAATAATATACCTGCTGAACCTACACACTCTGATACACCTATTATTCAAGGCGAAAAATCTGATACTAATAGAAAGCATTTAAGACCACTTCTACTTGCAAAAAAATAAAAAACAATTGTTTTTTTAGAATAAATTTTTTTTCTATATAAATAACGCTGTCTACTTCTTTATATACAACTATTCTATAATTGTTTAATAAATGGGACACTGCGTAATGTTATGAGTATTCGGAAACTTTTGATCAACTTTGATAATTTGTTGGACCATATTCTTTAGTAAATACTCTACCATTAATGCAAGTCTGGTTATGTAATATTGTATAACAACTTACTACAATTCTCGTTCAAAGTTTTCAAAATTCTATTTTTAACTTGATTATTAAAATTACAATTTGTGTTACTTTTAATTTTTCATATACAGTGAATGCATATGTATATACAATGATATATCAAATAAAAATCGAACATACTTGAATAAAACAAGTCACTCTCGCAGAATTGATCTAAAAAATAAATTTGTTTCATTAATTAAATTACTGCTTATGGCATTGTGTGCATCAAAGTTGTCCTAAAAAAATAATTCAGCTAAAATAACTGAATTAACAAGTAATTGAAATCTTCTCAAGTATGATTTTCAGTATGGTTAATGAATTATTATAATGCTAATGCTATAGTCGATATTTATTGATTCTTATTCATCAAATACTATTGACGATAATTATAATTCTTATCATCGATTAAATACAAAAAAAAATATTAATCCAAATCCACTATTTTTAGGCCTAGATTATTCTACCAGATGAAAATATTACTATCAGGATACTTTATTAATTGTAAAACTTTATAAAAAAAAACAAATTTGTACAATTTATAAAGTTTCAATTTTAGTAAAAGAAAAAAAAAAACTCAATTATTCAATATCACGATTGATTAACAATATGTTACTACACCACCATCAGTTAATTGAGAACAATTAATTTTCTCTATGATCGATTATTCAATGATCTTCGATTATAAGTTTACTTGTGTTAAATAAACATAATTATGAAAATGCATTATCGTTAACAATTTAAATCTTTTAAATTTCACATTATTTGTAATATATATTTAAATTATTACATCTATAAATAATTCTGTATTTAAAAAGCATCGCATTGATGAGGCTATGAAACATTAATATGACTCATTAGATGACAATAAATGACTGACGCGAAATAAAAATTAGTCACAATAATAACACGCAGATGGTATGTTAAGAAGATAAACCTGATTATTGGGCTAAGACCAAATGAAAAAAAAGAAAGTACAATAATTTTAAATAAATCATTGAAATGCACAGGCAACATGTTAAGAGAAAGCTGTTTATCAAGCTCAGACCAAAAAAAAGAAAACAGTAATTCTTTAAATCGTTAAATCATTATTAAATAATCATTAATCATAAAAGCCTCTTTGTTGATTTTATGAACTTAAACTGTAAAAGTAAAATAATTAACCCAAAGCCCCTCTTTTAAATAATCTTAATTTTATGATTCGGGCTGTGAAGAAATTATAATAATTATCTAAAACCTTTTGTATCTTTTTGTTATCATAAAATTATAAAAGCACTGTAATTTCATCGTTGTAAGATCAAAAAACCTTTGAATTAAAAATGACAATAAAAATATTATTATTAAAATTGAATTCTAAATCTTTAATTTTTCTGTACTCTTATCATATCGGATGCTAAATTTCAACACAAAGCTTTTTTGAACTCAACAAAATACATCCAAAAAATAAAAAATAAAAATGCTCAATTACAGTATTCAAACTTTTCATCTTATCTCTTTCGCTGAAATATTAATACAATCTAACAAAGATCCTACCATTTCTTCTGCTGATAACATTTTTGAACCGTATACTTTCAGGAACGAAATAAATCAAAATTTATTAAATGCGCCTACTAAGTTTAATGTCCCCAAATTACCACTTCATTTGTGTAAAATTAATAATTTTTCATATTAATACTTAACCTCGGCTCTTCGTCGTCTCATACATCAATTTCAAACAAAAATCTTACCAGATTATCTGAATATTCCTTGTGCATATTGTTCGATCCTTATATTAAACTCTTCTGTATAATAGATTAACTATATTGAAGATCACCCATATACGATGTCACAGGCTTTTTCGCTTCCCTTTTACACTAAAATAAATAATAGAAATATCATTAAAGTTGCTGTTTACAATGGATGTAAAAATAAAAAAACATACCACTATCCTTCCATGTTAACCTACATTCCTCTTCAAATACATAATGTTCCTATATTCTATAGAAAATACCTCTCTCCTGTTTTCATGAATTGTTCGCTAGGTCGAACTGCATGTGCAAATCCTTACACCAACTATTGCCATCTTAAAGGATCTATTAACCTATTACACAATTACAGAACTCTCTAATTATATTCCAGATTAATTGGATGTTACTTAAATATCAACGAACCACCGAATTGGTTCTATGATTCTTTAATTCCCGCATCTGAATGGCTCAAACAAACAAATCCTCTTATTTGTGAATATGCATTAAGTATAACTATTAGCCATCCAACTCCAACAACACCTATTTTCATTCCCTTACCTTCGGCTCAACAATCACTTCAAACTACTACTCAATCTACAAATATATATCGCAGTAATATTCCTGATAGTTTACCTTGTCCACCTGACTTAGTTGTCTCAAATAATTCTTTTCCTTAAGAAATTCATGACAAAGATGTGCATTATAGTTGCCTGTTAGCTGGTTCAATAATCAGTACTAATAAGCCCCTTACATTTAATGATCCATACCTAGAAGCTTTGATGTTTTCTGACTTATTTCCTAATGGTCAAGGACATTATGAAAGTATAAGACAACTACTAAATTTTCAACCTTTGGTTGACAGTTATGAAAAATATATAAAATTATGCCTACTTTATCCTGATCCTCATTTCCGTCTCCATTGGTATTGGACTCATTGGTCATACTTAAACCTGGAAAAAAGAAAAAATTTCAAAACCAGCACTGTATATTGTCAACTAGAAATGTTAATCACGAATATTACCTAACAAGAGCAGATTTAATTGCCGAAAGCTCTTATAATACCGTAACATCGTAGATGAAACTAAAACTACCATGATTCCTTCAAGCCTTCGAACTGCTGCTCCTTTTTTTCAACAGAAACAATATCAGGTTAATACTATGATAAATTTTTATGGTTTGCCTTAAATTTTTTACACCATGACCATGGCTGAAGATAAGTGGCCTCACCTACATGAAATACTGAGACAAACCGACAATGGTGATACGTTACCTACTAATCGTCTACTACACACCTACCTATTCTACCACAATTACTTAACCAATGTTCATAATAAACTTTGGAAACACCTGACCCTTTCCAGATGGGATAAATGGAAGCATTTTTTTGAACGGATGAATTTCAGAATCATAGAACTATATATACATATGGATTCACATATACAGAAAAAAAAATTTCTGAGTTAATCTTTTTAAACATAATTTGTGCTGATTTCTCTGATCCCATCTCTGAACTTAAATTACATGCAATGGTATTATCATTTCAAATACACCATAGCGATCATAGGTGTCATGGTTCAAGTCCTAATGGAGAACCATGTTCTAAAGATTTTTCTCAACCCTTATCTGAAAGAACTTATTTTTCACAACACTCTTTATGTTATGTCTATTGCCGTACAAAAAATGAAGACAGGATGGTAGTTCCCTATCATTCTGAAACCTTATTAGTATGGTGTGATCACATTAATTTTCAATATGTCACTTCTATCGGCTTTGCTAAATACAAAACTAAATATATTACTAAAGCCGAACTTTCAGAATTATTTAATATCAACGAGACCAATAATTATAAAAAACATATTATGGCAAGGCGGTTAGGTGCAATAGAGTTAATGATCCTTTTGCTACAATACCCTTTAACAAGATGTTCTGTCTTTGTATACCACCTAATAATTCGTGTTCTGATCTAATGAGAAATTTTATAATAAGATGTTGAAAAAAAAAAGGTTCACCATCTTCTATTTTGTAGCTAGTGAAACACAAAAGAATAGGCGTTTTTCTTTGCGATACGATTCTATTTTTTCGATCCCGGGTATGAAATAGTTTTAAATTTGGGCCAGGTAATTTAGATCTATATGGGGGGAGTCAGTAGAAATGGGACAAATCATTTTTAGTGAATTTTTTTTAATTTTTAAATTACAATTTCTTG